AGCGAAGGAGACCCCACTGCCTCTCCGGGCAACCTGCTCCAATGCTCTGTCACCCTCACAGTCAAGAAGTTTTTTCTCAGGCTTAGGTGGAACTTCCTGTGGTTCAGTTTGTGCCCATTGCCTCTTGTCCTGTCGCTGGGCACCACGGAGAAGAGACTGGCCTCATCCTCTTGACACCCCCCCTTCAGACACTTATACTCGTTGATGAGATTGCCTCTCAGTCTTCTCTTGAACAGGCCCAGCTCTCCCAGTCTTTCTTCCTAGGAGAGATGCTCCAGTCCCCTCATCCTCTTTGTAGCCCTCCGCTGGACTCTCTCCAGTAGTGCCATGTCTCTCTTGTACTACTCCACATGTGGCCTCCCCAGGGCTGAGGAGAGGGGCAGGATCACCTCCCTCCACCTGCTGGCAACACTCTGCCTCATGCACCCCAGGAGACCATTGGCCTTCTTGGTCACAAGGGCACACTGCTGCCTCATGTTTAACTTGTTGTCCACCAGCATTCCCAGGTCCTTCTCGGCAGAGCTGCTTTCCAGCAGGTCAACCCCCAGCCTGTACTGTTCCACTTCACTATAAGATGTTCCACTGTAAAATGTTCCACTTCACTGTAAGATGAGTTCATAAGCAAGAGTGATGAATTATCTTCTTGCATGGCCTGACTCCTTCCTTTACTACAAAGGCAGCCTAGACAGCTAGATTAGATTTAGTCACCTAACTTTTACATAGCTTAACTTCAGGGAGATGAATCCCGTCTGCTATATAGACATGTTGCATATGCTCAAGAAGTCTGATGGGTCTGGCTCTACTGCACAGCTATGTCCAGGAAATGCATTTCACCTCTGAAATATCACGCTGAGCTGGACCGTGGGCTATTCTGACTCTCTTTATGTGCACAGTAAACCAGCTGTATTTGGGATACACCGAGCCTAGTCAACATGACATGGAGAGGGCATGTACGAAATTCCATGTGCACGTGTTTAAAAAAAAAAAAACGACACCTGCCCTGGAAATCCACCAGGCTTACCCTTCCAAGCCTGCAGTTTTGCACCTTGCTATCACACCACAACAATCTGGGAGGCCAGTCTCCATGATTACTGTTTCAAATGCTCGTAAATGTGAAATACCTGGGGAAAACATACAGAAGGACTTCCTCGCTAACCTTGAGCTGTAGGTAAGTGACCTATTTAAATCTAACCATGCTTCCTCTATTATCTTCAGGGAGAAAGAAATTAGCGTCTTCACTGAGTGATTCTTCCTTAGGATGGGTTGAATCATAGAATCACATGGACAAAAGATCTCTAACCTGATCCTCCTCCACCAAGGGAGAGTCTTCCTTTCTCCAGCCTTCCTCTCTTGTCCCCAGGGTCTGGAATTCCTGAGGACTGGCCTTAGCACTAAAGACTGAAGCAAAGGCAGCATTCAATAACTCTGCCTTCTCTATATCCTTTGTTACCAGGGCACCCGCCCCATTCAGCAGCGGGCCCACTTTTTCCCTAGGCTTCCTTTTGCTATTGATGTATTTGAAGAAGCCCTTCTTGTTGTCCTTGACATCCCTTGCCAGATTCAATTCCAAAGGGGCCTTAGCCTTCCTTGTCGCATCCCTGCACACGCTGACAACGCCCCTATGTTCCTCCCAAGTGGCCTGTCCCCTTTGCCATATTCCCTAGACTTCCTTCTTTCGGTGTGACTTTTGCCAGCAGTTCCTTGCTCAGCCACGCAGCTCTCATGCCCACTTTGCTCAACTTCTTACTCATAGGGATGCACCGATCTTGAGCTTGTAGGAGGTGACGTTTGAACATTAACCAGCTTTCTTGGACCCCTCTTCCTTCTAGGGCCCTCCCCATGACAGTCCCCTAGGTAGGTCCCTGAAGAGGCCAAAGTTAGCTCTCCTGGAACTGCCTCTCTCTTTCTCCACTGAGTACAGAGGGGTTTAGATTAGATTCAGACAAAATTCTTACATACTTACTAGTAGATGGCATGAACCATTTCACCCACAACCCTCCCCAATTTCTCTCTTTTATCTCTATTGAGAGACCTCAAACTACCTCGGCACCAGCATGAGGATCTTCAGTAGGATACCTGAAGTTAGGTGAGAGGAACTGAATCCTAAGAGTCAGTTGCTCTAACATAAACAGATAATGCAACTCACTGTATTTCTCTTGTTGGCAGATGTTGAACTTTTGATGTATTAGGTGACAGAATTGCTTCTTTCATAATGGATAATTTTCTGAAGGAGCACAGGAACATAATTTTTGTAAGGTGGCAGTCTCACAATTATTCAAGTCATCTCACAGAAAAAAATCCTGTTGTCTTCCCTTTACTCTGCTTCCCAAAACACTTCTGCTGCCTCCCCAGATATAATGCTGGATCATGTCACTTCCTCCTTTCCCATGAACGTCCTCTTGTATGATTTTTCATAATTAACGTATGTGGGAGAATAATGACAATTTTCAGAAAAGTTTTTAAAAATAGTGCCCTAATATGATTAAAGAATTTTCAGCAAATGAAATAGTCATCTTTAACTTATCTAAAAACATCAGCACCAGTGTACATGCTTTTATATACGCTCTTATATGTGCCTTCGCCATCTGGTGGCAAAGCATGATCATAGCATGTCAGAGCTGAGGAAATTTTTGGATCAGATATATTTGTTGGAAAATGATGATTCCAAAAAAGTAAAATTGTTGAGAAAGTTTCCATTTCTCGACGTTTATTGATAATATTATCAGTTATATATATCCATCATTTGGAGAGCTTATATTTTGTAAATAGTTGATACTTACTGCTTACTGCTGCTACTTGCTTTAATGTATTATATTTTGTTATATTGTACTGAACAACATTGCACTGCATCCTATCTTAATGTTGTGGAAAAACAATGTCAGACATGCTCTTTTCAAATAGCTGAGCATGTGTCTAGTCATAGACTTGAGCAAAAGGCTGTCACAGGTTATTCCAGTTATAGATGAGCACCAATTTAAACATCTGCAGCAGATTTGAGTCCATCTGACCTCATCATTCTAATCTGCCTTTATGGTCAAAAAAGCACTTCTCGGGCACTGTTCATCTTCTCAGAACAGACATGTTCATACCCTAGGATCCACGAATCTTCTTTTTAAACTAAGAAGAAGATGAGATGAACAGCTTAGGTGAAATCGTTTACTTCAGAGATCACGTCTTGCATCATAGAGACCCAAAGCACAGAGAGCAAAAACTCACGTCTTGTTCTTCAAATCAGGGAATCCAAGTCACTGAGTGTAATTTTAACCTCGTTACTCTTGCGTATGTCCTGAAATATGGGAGCTAAGAAAGATATGTAAGCCATATTGCATACTACGATCAAATGAAGGAAAGAACAAGAAAAATACTAACTCTTACATCATGTAGGAGGGAATTCACTAGTTACACCAGTATACTATGAAATCTGCAGTTTCCTGGCCTTAGAAATCAGCAGTTGAAAGATCTATTTCCCATCCCTAGTTTCTTTGTCACGAAGGAGAGCCATCCATTCTCTTACATCCATTGCTTAATTCTGCTATAACACTGGATTTCAACACAGGCAGAGTTGCTAGCTTTCTGAATTGGGAAATAACCTCTGTGTTCATTTCAGAAGTTGCTGCGTAATTTCTTGCAAGTCTTTTTTAGTAAGGACTGGATTATTTACCCATTTTCCTTATAAATTCTTGATCTTCAGATGTCTGTACGTGCATATGGAAGCTCTATCATTAACGCAATGAAAGCCTTTTCAGATGTCCTTATTTTTCACAGTGTTGGGTGCTACCAAGAGTGGAATAAATCCATATAGTCTCAGCATTTTAGAAAGAAGCCATTTCTGTTATGCAAAACTGAAATAACAGACATAAAGTTTGTTTATATTTGAAACTGGACTTAAATTTAGCAAAACATCATTTCAGAACAGTGTGGAACTGGGATGTTACAGTCTAGGAATCCTAGAATAGCCTCATTTTTATATGTATTCTTTATGGCTTGTAGGTCCAATTTATTCATATAATTGATGCAGCAGTAGAAGATTTTAGTGATGTACTCATGAATTCATAAGTCCATTTACCTACTTGTCAGACAGCCAATTCGTTATGAGTGTGAACTGAGCTTTGTTTTGTGCAGGAAAGAGTAGAATTAATCAAAGAATGTTTTCTGTCAGATATTTATCTAGTAGAATGCTATCAAGTTGACTTGAAACACATGGACTCAAACCAGTGGATTTTAATATCTTTTTCTGACTACATTTCTGACTGCATGTCTGATTCTGATTGAGTTTCAGGATTATGTTTTGGATGAAGTCAGTATCGTCCATGTTGAGCAAAAGAAGTATTCTGTTCCCTGCTAGCGGAAGGATATGATCACGATCAGTTTTTGCCAGTTATTCTCCAGACTATATTAAGACAAGATTGCTTACCTAACGTGAACAAATATCTGAGCAAAATGGCAGGAGAAAATTACACCATAGTAGCTGAGTTCATCCTCCTAGATCTAATTAACAAGGCAGAAGTACAGCCCACTCACTGTAATGCTCTTAATTATTTACCTGATAACTGTAGTTGGAAATCTATGTCTCCCCAAACCACCCTCCCATGTACCTTTTCCTTAGCCATTTGGCAATCTTAAACTTCTGCTACCCGGTCATCATCCCCAGGACAGTGGTCAGTCTCTTAGCAGAGAGCAAATCCGTCTCACTTGGTGGCTGTGCTGCCCAGATGTATTGTTTCTCTGCATTTTGCACCAATGAATATTTCCTTCTGGCTGTAATGGCATATGATCATCTGTAAACCACTGCTCTACAAAGCTGTCATGTCACGAAGTCTCAGCATCCAGCTGCGACTTAGTTCTTACAGTTGTGGGTTTCTAATCTCAATGATGCACAGCAGCTGGGCTATTTTTGTGTCCTTCTGCCATTCCAGCATCACCAGTCACCTCTGTGGGGCAGCACCCATGCTGAACCTCTCCTGCTCTGACATCAGGGTTAACAAGATCAGCCTCACTGCATGCGGCATCTTCATCACACTGGAGTATGCATTTCCTACATCTACATCATCTCTGCCATGCTGAGGTGTCACTCCAGCAAGGGAAGGCACAAAGCCTTCTCCACCTGTGCTTCTCACTTGATAGTTTTTGCCATATTCTTTGGCACTTCATCTACACACTCCACAGCTGTGGCTCCTTGCCTAACCAAGACCAGGTGATATCAGTGCTTTATATAATGGTAAGCCCCACAATCTACAGCATGAGGACCAAGGAGGTAAAAGAGCCACTGAACAGCCTATTATATGGAGGAAATTGTTTGTCAGTCAATAAAACCTCCAAAGTAGTTGCAACAGGTGCTTAAAAAAACAGAGTGATGAATACAGCTGTTCATGAATGAATTTACTCTGAAATAATTGCTCATTATGCAATAGAAGTAGGAGAAAAGTGATTGCAGAAGTGAAGGAAGAAGTAACTGTAATATTAAAAACTTTTCTGCAATAGCAAGCGTTACAGCTTTAATGCAAGGAGGTACAATTGTGACAGTTTTGAAGGGAATTAATTTCACCTAATTTTTTACTTTCATGTTTGATGCCTTGAAGATATCCCAGCTTTGTTTTAAACTGTTACTAACTAGTACCAGTTCAGCAATATCACTTCCATATTCTTTTTCCACTTCCTTACCTCATACATCCTTGTAGTCTTTGTTTGCTGACTCACAGTCTGAAGGTGATCGTTAACTTTTTAGTAAAACTGGGTCATGTTCATTGGACACCTTAAAATGTTTGCAGTATTAGCGATGTGGGAGACTCGTATCTTTGATACAAGGATAAATTTACCACACTGCAGGTGGTCCTCAGTGACAGCCTACCCTGCAAAGGCAGTGTTAAGATAGAGGCACCAGAACCATAAGCAAATCATCAGTGATAAACTACTTGAAGAACTTTAACTTGCATTTGAAGAAAAATTTACCCTGATGGATGAACACATCACCTAGGACTGGCTGGTCCACAGGTTATCACAGAAAGACATATGGTCCACAGGTGAGCAGGCTTCCTGAAACCACATGGTCCGTGAGACAAACAGATTATCAAACAAAGGACACTAGTCCAAGGACAGATGTGTTACTAGAGACAACAGGACTCTTCTGCGGAAAAAAACAATAGTCAACTATGTATTTTAATTATAGGAAGAATTATCAAGTTTGATCATAATTAATAACAGAGGGGGATCCACATTCAGAATAGGAAAAAGGAGGCAGTAATGACTGACAGAAAAGGGAGATTTAACAGAAGAAGGAGATTTATTACCAAATTTCTGAGTTGTGCAGAACTGTCTTTTTCAGTGGACTCCCAACTCAAAGGAAGGAAATAGCTTGAAAAGAAATCATAGACATCATTTTATTTTACTGTGCATGTTTAAAGGTCTCTGGCAAGAGCAATGTACAATATTACTCTTTCAGAAAAAGAACATCATCAAAGAGCTTACTTGCACAGTAACACGTCATGCCTGCACAGCTTCTTTTTCTGTGCTGATGTTTAAGATGTTCAAAGCTATCTAGAGCTAAGCATCAGCAGAACTGGCAGCATGTTTCAACCAAGAATCAAAATCTCAAATCCAAATATGTTTTCTGACAACTATCATTAAAACGAACAGATTTTCATAAGCCCTGCATTAATCCAAGCCCTGCATTCTTCTATCCCTTAGTGTCTACCTAGAGAAACCTAGACAAAAGTAATGAATTTAAAATGCTAAAGATCTGATGTCTCTTCAAATCTACAGTTTTCTTTTCTAAGAAAGCCTTCTGATCCAAAATCTAGAATCCTGTTCCTCTTCTTTCCTTCCCAATATCTCATCTTCAATAGGATATTTGGGAAAATACCTACCTTGAATTGTTATGACAGCAACGCTAAAATCAGTCCATTTGCAGTAGAACAGCATTGACCAGAGTCAGGAGGTCCTAGGGGCATTTCTAGGGCATTTTCTGTGCCGCAAACAGCTGAGGAAAACTCAATGAAACAAGAGTGGTTTTATTAAGAATTTTAGGAAAATGTTCAGTGTTCAGCTAGGAATTAGGTTATATTCCAGTATGGAAAAATATTTAATTCCCATATTTCCACTGAGGTACCTATTCCTTAGATTTCTATAGTGTAATAGTACCAGAGAACTGGCCAAAGTATGAAACTTCATCCAGTCGCTAAATGAAGCCACAAAAAAATATCCCAGTAATTAAACTGGATTGTGACTCCAACAGTGACTATGGCATTTAATTATGCTTGAGTTGTTGCTCTGATAGATTACAAAGCTCAACTATGATATAAGGTCAAGGTCCTGGAAAGGTGTTAGACAGCAGAGCTTCTTTAAATGAAGAGCTCCTAGAGAAAGTAGGTTGGCACAGACTGATGTAAATTTGAGTTAATGCATGACATTGGGGAATGCCCTCTGCATCCATCAGTGTTCCCAGAAGCCTTGGGAAGTCTACTACAGCATATGTCACCCTTCACTGTAAGGCGGAGACCTAATACAGCATCCTGCTTCTCTCATGCTCCTATTTTACCGTGAAATGAATCTCAGGCCCCTCAAAGGTTTCTTGCTGTCCTCAGCAGCTTGCTCAAGTTTAGACACCTCATGTTAGCACATCAATCTATGTGAGATGAAACCTGCCCATGCTGTGCCATACTGGAGGATTGCTGCCTCTTGGAAGCTTATTACCACTATCACTTTTTTGTGTAGAAACTTGAGGAGATACTGCCCACAGGAGCTAGTAGGAAAGAATAACCTATCAAAATACTTAGTTATTCCTCTTAATGCCAAGAGAAGCCTAGAACTGAGACTTACACAGCTACAAGGGGTCTCAAGGTAGAAGTCACAATACCACCCCAAATGCTCAGGTTTGACTGGTGACAATATCCTCACATCCTTTTGACTGGCAATTTCCAAAGAAAGATGAAAGCCACATAAAACCTTGAATTTAGTTTCAGTTCTGTTCTGAACAGCCATGCTACAAATAGAACAACATTACTGAGAAGTCCCTCCTGAACACTTCTCTTTGCCTCCCCATGATTTCTTGAGCTACAACCATCTTACAAACATTCATCCTGTTGTTTCATTTCCCATTTCTCTTTGCTTTTCTACTCCACAGCTTTTTCATGGCTTTTTTCATGTCTTCATTTCGGAGAGTGTAAATCAAGGGATTGAGCATAGGCGTGAGGATGGTGTAACACACAGAGACCATCTTGTCTGCTGAGAAGGTGGTGGAAGGGCGCATATAGATGAAAATGCATGGCCCAAAGAATAGAAGTACAACAGCGACATGGGAGGTGCAGGTAGACAGTGCTTTGAGACATCCTTTGGAAGAGTGTGTCCTCAAAGAGACCAAAATAATGACATAGGACACAACAAGAACAACAAAAGAGCTCAAGGAAATCAGACCACTATTGGCAACCACTATGACACCAACCACGTAGGTGTCAGTGCAGGCCAGCTTCAGCAAAGGATGCACATCACAGAAATAGTGGTCCACCTCATTGGGCCCACAAAATGGTAGCTGAATGGTCAGCAGGGTCTGCACCAGGGAGTGCACACAGCCTCCCACCCAAGAAGCTGCCACCAGCCAGCCACAGACACGCTTGTTCATTATGTTTGTGTAGTGAAGCGGCTTGCATATAGCAGTGTAACGATCATATGCCATTGCTGTGAGGATGAAGATCTCGGTGCAGCCAAAGAAATGCACCCCAAACAGCTGTGCTATGCAGCCCGCAAAAGGGATGGTCTTCTTTTCAGCAAGAAGGTCATAAATGAGTTTGGGAGCTGTGACAGTAGAGTAACTGATGTCTAAAAAGGACAAGTAGCTCAGGAAGAAGTACATGGGAGAGTCCAGCTGTTGACCGGTCTTTATAGTGATGATGATAAGCAGGTTTCCAAGAATAATAGTGGCATAGAAGACTAAGAAAAATGTGAAGCATACTTTTGCTAATGTATTATCTTGTGTGAGTCCCTGGAAGATAAACTCAGTCACGTTATTTTTGTTCTTCATATGCACCAGGTAGATAGGACCTGAAGCACAGAGTAAAGCCACCTGCAATGGCATTAGAAATACAAAGTTACCAGTACACATACATATTGATCACTGGCATGTTAAATATTAATATATTCCCTTTGATGTCTTTTGGGGAAAGTTTCCTTTCAAGGTCAATGCTTCTCTCAAGGAATAACAGTTGATATCTAACTCAGAATGTATTACTGAAGTGTATAATAGTGAGCTCTGCTTATTTATTTGAGGAAGCTGGTGGAAATACCCTCAAGAATCGTATTTCTGATCTTTACCCCTTTTAAAAAGGAAGACTAGTTACTAGGTTCCCTAGTTTCCTAGGTTCCCACTTATAAAGTGTTAATTTGGAAATAAAAACCTGGCTGAAAAGGATAGTGCATGTTACAATTTGAGTCTCAACACATTAGTCATCCTAGGAATTCTGCTCAAGCAGTGAACGTACCTCCTTTTTCAATCCTCTGAAAGAATTCAACAGAACCAGCCCTTACCGTTGCATTCTGACTACGGTAGAAAGTCCATGCATTTTTATGCAACCATCACTATTCACATTATGACACAAGGCAACTGTCTAAGTAACTTCACTTCAAATATCATTGTAGATCATTACGCAGGAGGCAAAGTGGACACCTACCTTATGCCTGTTTAGTAGAGATGTGCCTTTAGGAGCAATTGTCTTTAAGGCCCCCTAAGTGAATTCAGACCATGTTCAAGGATTGCCAGGAAACCTGTGGCAGGAGAGTCATGGTCCTATACGTGCTGCACTGGGCTACATCTTATGTGGACTAGTTCCAGTTATTGCTCATACGCTTCTGGGTTGAGACTTGATTAAGTTCAGTCTCAGAAAGAGCTGGCCTGTATTTCCTCGGACCACCTTTCCTACAGTACGTGGGTGAATACTGAAGATAACCTGCATTAATAATGTGTTCGTATACTTCGCCCAAGTTCTGGACTAGGCATGGAAACCCTCATAAATACACCTATGATGACACGGGGGTAATAAATGCACCACTGCTGGATCTTCTTTACTCACCAACACCCTTGTATTCGCCTTTGCAGCATTCTAGTGCAGCACATGAGTATCACTAGTGTTCAGTTTCTACACTGACAAGATAGATGGCAAGAGCTGCGTAACAATGTCTACAATGCTGGCAAATCCTTTGATCCTCTTTGGCAATCTTGATCCTGTTTGACAATCACAGGTCAGTCCGTTCTTTCTCCTGAGATCTCTGCCTCTTCCACTAGCTACCCTCCAACTTTGGCAACAGAGGAAATATTCTTTCACGTCTCCATCCCTATCTCCATGACACTCCATGTGCAGAGGAAAAGCAGTGTAGGGAGGCCCACAGTACGTGTTAAGACCATTATTGCCAGGACATGTACAGCTAGAGGGGACAATTTAAGATTGAGTACATAAGAAGTGCTGTAACTAACTACTGACTCCTTGTCTCTGTAACATCGGAAACTTCCTTTGACAGATATTTCTGGAAATGATATATAACTGAAAAATAAGCAAAGACACTAATTAAAACAAAGGGTAAAAAAACTAGAATAGAGTTGTTTCTAATTCAGAAAATGTACCTCAAGAAAGTCACTCAACAATAATGCTTATTTTCAAAGGCAAGATTTCATAGTCATGCTTGAACAAAACAAAGAAGCAATGTCAGAAAACTTACACAATTTATATTTGCTAGTCTCCAACAGTTTGCTTCCTATTGCTCCTCTGATGTCCTTCTCTGACCACTTTAGGTGGTTTCATCAAAAGCTCTCGGCTGCAAGCTGCTTCTTATGTGTCATGAGAGCAGTCCACCTCTCTGCCAGTACTGAAAACTACAGAGGATGAAACAAACAGCTTGAATGTCTATCTCCATTTCTCATTCTGCAGAAACAACTTCCAAGAGCATCTGCAAGAACTACTCTGTCTCTCAAGATAGGGAAGTTGTCACAGAAGTATTTAAAGGAAATTGCACAGCAGAAGCACAATACTACCATAAGTAATGAGATCCCAGAGGCATATGCAGTTTTCTTTGTCAGAAATAATCAGTAGACAAGGAGCTAAAATAAATATTTTGGACAGCTGTTAGAGTAATCGCTACAGGGTGACTCTGGAGGGTGGTCATCTAGACCATGTTACATTGTGTGTGGGTTTGCTCGCTTTCTTCCTTGCTTTCCAATGCTGTCCAGACAAAGGGACTTTATTTAGTATTAGCTATGTGTTTTTTCTGGAAACACTTCTATTTGGCATAAATGTCATGGCTGCCAATTGCAGGATTTCGTGTTCACATCACCTTTGCAATCAAACGTTTTTTGAGTAAAGGTGTCTCTTACACATGTCATTAGATAACTTTTTCCCTTCTAAGCCAATATTTCTCATATGCTTTCTTACTTCTTATTGATTTGTTCTTACCATTGCACATTTGCAGCATAAAGAAATATCATACCTGTGCTATAGGACTGTTAGCCCCTAGACATCTGGTCTGTATAAGTTTGAAACAAGAAGTAAAAGAGGAAATTATTTCAAAACTTTAAAAATGTTTGTGGTTAGGCCTCACTACTTGCCAGGTATTTTTACTCAGACAATGCAAAACATAGAAGCAGCTGTTTAGGCCTAATGTGAAGTTAATATAAGAGGCTGGTCCAATGTGTAGAGGAATCTAATGTTGTTTTTCATGCCTTCCATAAACTATGGGCTAGCTGTTGCCTGCTAGCATCCAGCACCCAGAAGAGAAATCAGAAAAATGATGGGGTTCTTCCCCAAAACATTTTTAAAAAGCAATTTTTTAATTCTAAGCCTTAGCAGCTTCAGTTATTTGTTTAACAGAAGGAGCTGGACTTGGTTATTTTATTTAATCCCTTACATAAACCCCTTAGCAGCTTCAGTATGAAGGGGGTTGGTGGGCCCCCATTCGTCTGTCTACCTATCCCATAAAGGGTGAGACAGACCAACCTCTGAAGGTGCCTGTCCCTCTCTGTTGACAGTGGTGCTGAGCTAGACAACCGTCCTGCACCGCATGAGGAATTTAGACTGCTACAAATAGGTAGGGAGGATCCCACCTTAAGCTGTGTCCACCGAGTGTGAATGCTGGGGTGGGGGGGGCGTGCTGGCCCACGCCTGAGGGACACTATCCCTGTGAGCCTTGAGGATCAGGACTGACGCCAGTTTCTTCCTGCTGGCAGCCATCCACATAACCACAGTGAGGAGAAGACACTGAGATGTCTGCAGTACACCCGGTGCATGCAGGTGAAATGGGAACCCACTCTGCCACCCCCTGCATGCAGTGGAGGTCATCTGGGGAACGAGAGCATTTCCTGCATTGTCCCAGGGTCTAGCCTGTAGATTTGCTGCTCTCCTGTGCAGTGAACACCTTATTACCTTGAATCACACTTAAGCCACGTTAAGGTGCAATGCAAGTGAAAGCAAGTGTTTATAGGGAACACAAGTGAAGAAATAAAAAAGAAAGTGCTTTGGTTACTTTCAGAGTGCATTATTCAGATCTCTCACTCACTCAGCTGATTTGCTGTTTTCCTCCTTGCAAGCTAGGAGCTGGGGTCCCATGTGTCCTCGTGGCTCTTTTTTCCTTGTGGAGAACCTTAGCTGCTGTAACTAATCTCCTGGTGACAGCTCTGACTGGCTCTGAGCTGGTTCAACCTTTCATCTTCACATTTCTTCTCTTCCCTCCTGCAGCAGTAGGCATTTCAGCTATTGCCTTGCAATACATGCTTCTTCCCTTGCCTTGGCCTGTAAATGTGCCCTGTTGTGCTAGGAGTTATCTTGCATACAGGAATTATTCCTGAATAACTCTTCCTTTTTCATTGATTCATAAAGCTGTGCCCCCAAATGCTTTTTTTGGTGGCAGCAGTTTCCTATGGTGAGCAATTTGTCTTTCACTTGGATGTGTGATTCTGTATTAGTCTAAACATTAAAATGCAAAATCTGAGGCAGAGCTGAAGGGCAGAGGGGATGGCTAGGAAGGAAGGTATTAGAGATTGACTGGTGAACTCCTGCAGAAAGGAAGAGAGTTGCAATGGAATGGGAAGGGAAGAAGCTTCTCCTCATATCATCTGCATCAGCAAATGACCCAACCAGCACCTAATATCAGCAGTTTAATTGCTAAAGCATGGATTCAGAGTAAGACAATGTACTACTCATAAAAAGGCATTTACTCCAAAGTAAAGGGGAAGCCTCTGACATGATTGCTTCCAGCAGCAGGTGACCAACTGCCTCGCAGACACCTTGGGCCATTGTTTCCTAGCTGAGTGGATTACAGAGTAGATGGAGTTTTTCTGACTGAAAGTTTACACCGGGGAGAACTCTGACTAATGGGATGCTCTGCTGGGACAACATTTTAATATTTTTGATAACATTTATTTATTTGCTGATGTTTCAGTCGTGCTTGGAAGCCCCAGTCCTGGGCCTGTGCTACTCAAAAAGAGAATAGAAATGGAATCCCTTCTAGTCATAGGGTTTACAATGGCATTCCAATCAAAACATGAACATTCATTGTCTTCCTAATTACAACAACAGCTGAAAACAAGCTTTTCTTCAAAAGGGAGCTTTCAGTAAATTTTCCAAAATGGAATTATAGCAAGAGACACTTGATTTTCTCAGCTCCTGAGGAAGCGTTACCACAATTCTACATCTCACCCTTTTCACTTCCCACTTTTCTATTCCACAGTTTTCTCATGGCACTTTTCACCTCCTCATTTCTCAACGTGTAGATGAGCGGGTTCAGCATGGGTGTGATAACAGTGTAAAACACAGCCACCCTTTTGTCCTCTGAGAGATTGCTGGATGGGCGTATGTAGGTGAATGTGCATGGCCCGAAGAACAGAATCACCACAGTAATGTGGGACCCACAGGTGGAGAGGGCTTTGTGCCGCCCTTTGGACATTCGCCTTTTCAAGGAAAACAAGATGACCATGTAGGACATGACCAGGATGAAGAAACAGCTCAGAGCAATCATTCCACTATTGGCAACAACAATGAT